TTATTGTGCATTTTTTTTCTTAAAAATTTTGAATAAAATTTAGTAAACTGTTGTTTTGAGGGGTGTTGAATCCAGTGCCGTGCTTAGATTTTGTTTAAAAAAATCGCTAATATGAACCGAAACTATGTTAAATAAATTTAATGCTACTATGTATGAATCATACAGTATGATACTCGTAACGAAAATTAATTCGTTTTAACAACAATGTCTTCTAAGTTCTAACATTAAAAAGTGGTTCCATAACCCAAAGATATGTATGTTTTTAAAAGAAGTATTTTTAGAAGAAAACGTTTATTTAATATAATAAGAGATGTTTTTTTCTTTTTTTTTATAATTTGGGGATTTTTTCTTAACAAAAACTAATTTTAGGGATTTCATAGATATGAAAAACATATTTTATTAACAAGAATAGTTAGGAATTAAAAACAAATATCCCCAAATTATTATGATTCATTATTGAATTAATTCAATAATGAATCATAATAATTAATAAAAAAAAATCTGGGGATATTTGTTTTTAATTTAAATTTAGGGGATTTTTAAATTCCGATTGGGTAAATTCCGCTGACTTGAAACACTTGCAACACTTGAAAATGCATGGAAATATTTTACCTCGCTGTGCGAAGGTTATATATAAATCAATTACCAAGACCAATTTCAATCCCTATTATCAATGTATGTATATCCTGGCCACCCGGCAATAAAATGTAAGATACACTATGTATTTTTGTAACTCGATTCTTTAAGTATACTTGTTTTGGCATATTTGTGATCGTCCAGTTAATTTATTTACTTTATAAAAATTTGGACCAAACGTTGTGTATTAAAGTACATTGATAATAACGTTATTTTGAAATTGGTCATGTTTAATGAAACACAAGTATTTAATTTGAAACCCCAGATTTAATTTAAGCAAAGACAAAGAGGTGGCCCGTTGAGTCAGAGCACAGGGAAAAGGGACCATAAAAACCCTGGCGACAGTTCAAATAAAAATAAAATACAAAACAAAACATAGTCATATGGGTCATAATCACAAGAATACAGTATAAATCATAAGTGAATAAAATAACATAAAAAGCAGATAAACATATTTCATATAAACTGCGCACCACTCATTGTGTCATAACTTTTGTGTTTCTTGAACTATTTTATTTTGGTCTATGTTGTCGGCTAGCCTCATCCTTTGGCAATTCATGCTTTAGATATGGAGCTCACGGTTCTTAAAGTAAATTTCCTACAGGGTGAAATGTTAAACAGTGAAAAATTTTAATAACTTCCCAAGCCCCGTTTGTAAAAAAATATTTTTTTTCTCTTTTTTTACTTTAAAATAATAAAGTATTATGTCTTACCTTGTAGCCTTTTTAAAATTTGTCGAATTGGAATCTTAGCAACGAAAATATGATTTTTTTTTCAAAAGAGTACATTTAAGGCTTTTTTGTAGGCAATACACTCAGTCTTTTTAGGAACAAGTAGATATGATGGTGAAATAATGTTCCTTAAATAATTCTGAACAAGCGACAAGCAACAACTTCCATTATTTTCAGAGGGCCTAAGCAAAGACCATTTTTACAAAATAACATTTTGGTGAAAATTTGAGAAAACTAAACCGATATTTACGTTCGTGACATGTTTTATTCATAATTTTGACCTCCTGATTGTGATTCAGCTATCAAATTTAAGTTTCAGATAAAACCAAAATCCCCAAGAATTAAGATTCGAAAGCAATTCCCGGCTGTTAAATGTCTCAATAAAATACGATTGCTGGTTTTTTACTGTGTTTTGCTTCTTTAGTACGACACATGGCTTTTGGAGCTGGAGGAGTGACTGTTTGGGGTGGAATGGCGATGAATGGAAAGAGTGAATGCTGAGAGATATAGAGATTTGGTTGTTAGTGATATCGTGGTCCCTTATGCTCAAAATGTTGCCAATAATTGGTGTTGGTGGACGACAATGCCCGTCCTCTCCGCGCCAATATCGTAAATGAGTATTTAAGGGACCACCATATTGAGATAATAAATTGGCCACCTTTGTTTCCGGATATGAATCCTATTGAGCATGTGTGGAACAGGATGAAACTGAATATGAAAGAGAGGGAAGGGCGCATGGAAAATTTGGATAAATTGGTAAATGCTATTCAGGAAGAATGGGATACCCCACCACTTTATAAAGAACTTGGTCGAGGCCCAGGAGGGTTAACAAATTATTACGGGTTAGGGGAGGGCCAACGAAATATTGAAAGTTATTTTTTTATTGTTTGTTACATTTTTTCGCATACAATTTTCCAAAATGAACAAATATTTTTTTATTTAACTTTATTACCAATTAGGTAGGTATTTATCAGTGACTATTTTCCTCGTCTTAATTTCCACCAATCACAAACGCGCAATTTTGAATTACAAATGGTTTCTAGGTGACTATTCCACTCATTACTTTTTGGACCAATCAGATTTCAGAAAACGAGTGGTTTTTTCAGTTTTGCAGCGATAAAACTACTATTCAGGTGAAAAAACCACTCGTTTATGCGAGTTGTATAACAACCAATTGGTTGCTATGATAAAAATAATTGTCACTGTTGACGTTTTTATTTTTAAAATTAAAATGTTAAAAAATATGCGTTTTGGTCCAAAAAATCATACAGAAATTGAATCAGCAGTTAAAAATATTCGTGAAATAGTCTTGCCGAATACCACTCGTGATAAAATTTTCCCTGAAAAAATTTTTGATTTTTATTTACTCAAGATTTTTCCTTGGAAATTTTGCTCGTGGCATTAACTTCAAACCACTCGCCTAGCGGCTCGTGGTCTTAAAAATTAAAGCCACTTGCGAAATTTCCAAGAAAAAAACATTCGTATAAAAATCAAAAATTTTATCGGTAAAATTTTACCACTAGTGGTATTATATACGAAAAAACTGTGTGACAGCACCTGTCAGCAGTTTTTTCGTGTTTACCCGCGGCAAAACTTGACAGCTGTTGTCACCAAAAATTGCAATTTATATTTTAATTGTTAACTGTTACTCATGAAATAGTCTTGTCAAATACCCAGGCAACACAGGGTCGTAGAAATCACGTAGAATCGTCGACGAATTGGGTCGAATTTGGTCGAAGTTACATTTCAACTATTTTTCGACGTCTCAAAATTCACCAAAACACGACCAATTATTAACTTAGGTCGATGATAACCAATAAATGACGTCATTATCACGTGAACAGATGACGAAATTTTTAAAAAAATATGAAAATATAGTGATAATTAATAAGAAACAGTTGGCCCATTTTAATGGGCCGACAAAAAGTTTTGGAATATTTTTAAAAACAAAAATTATTATTTTTATTTAATTTACGTTATTTCGACGGAAAATCAACGTGCAATATTTTATTAAAATAATTTTAAACATTATTTGGTTTTAAACTAATTAAGATAGATTAATAATTATTGATCAATGGATTTTTTAAAACAAATTCGCGATTTTTAAATCCTTTATCATTTTATCACAAAATAAGAAATTAACATGTTACTGCAGTTGACAATCACAATTTTAATTTTAGTAAAATTATTTATCTACAGTGTTGCCAGATGTTTTATAATTTTCTTTTTTAAAATAGTAAAATTTAAATAATAATCGATAATTGTAACATAATTTAATCCGCCGCGTAGTTTTGCTTGTTTTTATACAATTTTTGTTTTGATAATTTTATATAATTTTCTGTAAATTTGATCATTTTGTCAACCCTCTTCGATAATATTAATTTTTACACCTGGCAACCCTGTTTCTCTTTATTCCTAAAAAACAATATGGTTGATTCAAGCGTCCAACTTTTATAATCTGTGGCATTTATACATAAAACAAACCATTTATACTGATAATACTTTGGCTGTGTCAGGTAGGTCAATTTTTGTTTGTTTATTAATGTTTTAATTACTCAGTATATTCCGTAACGAAGTCATAACACCTAAATGAAGTACCTACATAAGCTCCTAAAATATTGACCTGTCATCTGTCTTAAAATTTAATGTGTTTGATTTTATAATAAATGTTTTGAGCAACTTAAAACATGTTTTATTAATTATTAAACCAAAAGCCCTTTATGCACTGGTAAAAATAATTATTTATTCTTATATCCGATATTTTAATGCCAGATATATGCCAGACATACATATGTTTGTGTTTCTGCAAAGATTAACTAACAATTTTTTTTTGATATTCTACTTTTTTACATACATTTATTTTGATTATTAATTATTTACTAAATATATATCTACTATAGTAGTATATACATACTATATATATAGTAGGGTTTACCTATTTATTTCTTAAAATTTAAAAGTACAACTAAAAATTTTTTGTTTTTTTAATTTTGACAAAATCACATTTCGCATTGAAATATCTAATATCAGTATCGGTAATTATTTTTATGTGTATGACCTAATCATATATTATTCAAGAAATATTACGTGATTATTCACGTCAAATTACGTAAATAATTACGTAATATTACGTGATTTTACACGTAAAATCGCTGTGACATATTGTCGTCAATTTTACGACGATAAGACGTGTCTAAGTTGGTGACTTCGACGTCACCGTAGACGTAAATTAAACGTGATATTCACGTCACTGTGTTGCCTGGGTACCATTCGGGCATCTAATTTTTCCTGTGAAAAAAATCGAAAAAACACAATGCTAATATTTTTTAACAAAAAGCATTCGTGCAGGTGCAAAAATCCTCCTCTTCGACTCAGATTTTTGTTGCCACCAGCACTCATGCTTTTTGTTAAAATATTACTGTTACTTTCTTCCATTTATCCGTAATCCAGCCAGTAATATGGACACAGTCTATACAACATTGAACCGTGCTTTACAGAGCGCCAAATCCATAAATCAAAGTTCCTGCATAATCACCTTTGATCAGCCATTGTATTGAAAACCACGTGAAATTGTTACTGCTGCGCCAGCTGGATCGGACATGTCGAAGGTAATTGTAATTGGGCGGCTTCCATATGATCATGTGTTTTCTTGGATGTATGTGCCACGTCATGGATGGGAGTGGTATGAAGGAAGCTCTCAGCACCATATACGCCGCCAATTTCGTGGACAAGTTGCTAAATGGACACGCCTACGCAAGAGCTATCCGAGCGCACATGCTTGTCCGGTTAGCATTAGGAAAAATTATTATTCAACAGCTGGTCTTTGAGGAAAATCTAACAAATTGTTGGATTGGTTGCATTGAGGATATTCTGTTAGGCCGGAAATCTCATACAAATTTGTTGGAAATTGCTCCCATGTGCTATTCGTTGGACACAATGTTCCACGAACGCCTAGAGGATCTCAATGATCGGGGGCCTACAGCGCAGTTGTGGGTGCAATATATTGATATGGTGCCAATAGCTCATAATTTCATCCGTGCTGAAAGACTTGGTGATTGGAATGTGCATCTCACTGTTGTAAAAAAAATGCTACCGTACTTCCATGCGTCTGGTCTGTTCTGGTCTTTATGCCAAGTCAAGGCATTTGTATCTACAGGACATAATGACATTAGATGCATAGCTAGACTGCAACACTTTTTAGCAGTTTTGCAAAGGGGTTCTTTACTGTTCGACGGACGGAAAAATTCAATAGTGGGACTTGGACAGATATGGTCATTGAACAGAGCCAGATGAAAATGATGAAGCAAGTTGGGGGACTTTCTGGAGGTCGAAGCACTAGTGAAAGTGTTGAGAGTCAATGGATTTTTGGTATGTTCGCCGAACATACTATCTGCGACTGACTGGAAACATTTTGCAATATCGACATGGGTAGTTCAGAGCAGCACCATGACGCAAGAGACTCTCGCATCAGACGAGACGATAAAGACCTCGAAACACTTGTTCAGTGGTTTACACAACACGATCCATTTCCTACAACAAATGACATTGTGTCCATATGCCTAAGTTAAGCATTAATGCCCAAAATTTAGGCATTTTTTTCGCAAGGGCAGTGCTCCCACAACAAAAACCTCTTCACTCCCGCCGACATCTTCAGCAGCACAACAGCATTTGTGTAGAGTATACTACCAAGTTCAAACTTGGAAGGGAAATGACTTTGATCCTGAACAGTGGGGATGGATTAGGAAAAATGACATGTTTTTTATATATTTATTTTGTCTATGATTATGATCGTTTGACTGTGATTTTTTTTAGTGGATGTATTGTGTGGTTTCAGATTCGCTGTATCGTGATAGAAAAACCATGGTTGGTAGAACAAACATATCTCTTTGTCAGAGTCAATGGCAATCTATCTAAAGTTTAAACATATTTTCCTGACAATTTTTAAACTGCGAAACATTTTAACTCGGCCTTTCGACAGCCGCACATTGTGCCGTATTGATTCGCACACCAGCACGAAATGATGTCGACAATTGATGATGGTTTCGTTTCTCCTGAGTCAGAGGTCATCATTGGCTTAAGCAAAAACATTCGCCAACAAAATTTGGCATTTAATGCCTGCACCGGATGAAATGTTCAATAAGAATGGTGTTCAGCCGCCGATTCTGTAGGTGGTAATCGAGATCTGATTTAATTTTCACGATTCGTCCACGAGAACAGCTTCAATAAAAATAATCTAGATATTTTTGGTTACTTTCTTCTTCATAAAGCGTGATGAAAATGTTTTACCCTATTGACGCAATATTGCTGTATATATAATATAATACTTTTTTTAGTAGGTACTCGTGCCCAGCTCTGGGCAAAACATTTCCAAAACATGGAAATTATATAGTCAGGTTTCTTTGATTTAGAAAGCCGTAACGGTTTCAAGAGGTTACAACCCTAATGGAAAAACATGTTCATTGCCATATATGGTGCAGAACCAGAGAACCATAGTGGGTTAAAATTTCCATGTTTTGGAAATGTTTTGCCCAGAGCTGGGCACGAGTACTAAAAAAAGTATTCGTAAAATTTTAAGTACGAGTACTTAAAATATTTACTCGTAAGTACTTTACTCGTAAGTACATTTTTAAAGAGAGGTTTCGGTTACGAGTAGTAATCGTGAAAACACGAGTAAAGAGTACGAGTACTTTTGAAAAAACATGTTAGTTTATATAATTAATTATTCTTTATACATTATACATACTTTGGTTCTGAGCTATAAAAATACAAATACAAATTTATAAAATTATTTATTTTAAACATTATAATGTTACCTATAGGTAGGGTGATCGCCTATAATGTCGCCCCCCTATAACTTTTTTATTTTAAGTGACACAAAACATTTAAAAGTGTGGTTGAGCATGTACTAAAAAATACTTTTTTTCTACTATAAAAAAAATTGGAAAATGGATCAGTATGCAGCGAATCGAAAAATAAATTCCATTGAGAAAAAATATAAGTACTTTTTGTTTTTCCCTGTATACTGATCAATTCTCCTATTTTTATTTGGGACACTTAAAATAAAAAAGTTAAGGGGGGCGACATTATAGGTGATCACCCTGTAAATAAAATAATAAATAAAAATAACAATTCTTAAAAAGTTTATAATTTTACCTATACAGGGTGTTATGTAATTAATGTTATATATTAAAATACTGAATACCTTTTGAAATAACGAGTAGGTAAAGGAAAAATATTTAAAAAAATATTTTTCCAAAGATAAAGAAAAAATAGGCATTAGAAGTTTTTTATATTTTTTGTGATACGCCACTGGTTACACACTTGGTTTATATCTGCACACTTGTGTTCTGTGAGTACATATATGTACTATATCTATCTATATCTATAGATACCAACCAACAAAGTAGCTGCGCGTTGCCAGATGTAAAAAATTGTTACTAAAAATTTTTCTTGCAAAAAATAAATAAAAACTCAATAAATACAAGTTTTATACCCTTAAAGCTCTAATACCCAGTGCCGGATTAGCAGTACAATAGGCCCTAGGCTAAAAATTACTTAGGGCCCCATTTATTTTATGGTGGTCATTTTTTTGATAAAGTCAAATTTGAAAGAAAAATAGCTGGTTTGTATGTTTATTTTTAAAAAAGTACATAAAAATCAGATAATATCTAAAAACATTAACTCCTATTGCTTTTGTTTTAAAACAAAATAAATAATGAAGTTTAAAATTGTATACAAAGAAGCCTATGGAATAAAAAGACCCTATATGTTATGAATACCTACCTTCCAAATTTATTTTTGAAGTTCCTGGTAAATCATCATGTGGGCAATGAATAAAATTAGACTTCTGTGATTGCTTACTATCAATATTTTGTGTTTTAAAAAATGTGTCTATTTTTGGAACATTTGCTAGAGATGCCGCCTGAAAAACAGCTCTTTCTTTAGCTATTTTACGCTTTTTTGCCCCACTTGGATAGTTACTCATTTTAGACAATAATATACAGACACTGACTTAATTGTATAATGTACACTAAGTCACTATGCACTAATTAAGTTTTTTAATACAAACTAATTTTGTAATTATTACTACAACTACCTATAAATTAATAACTTTCAACTATCGAATAAACGAAACTCGTACATAATCATAATGAAATGACTACTCCAGGCACTCCGCCTTGTATTTACGCTAGGAATTGAAATTCGGGGATTCACATAAGTTTTTTGCAGCGCAGAGTGCAGCTGCAGAGGCGTCGGTCGGTCTAGGTATCTTAAATCGCAGTAAAAACTAACATTAGCGGTGCGTGCCACGCTGCAACTAGATTTAGTATAAATAATGAAAATAATTATTTTTTTATTATTATATTAATAAAGTGGTAGTAGTAAATTATTTTCTTAGTTCTTCTTCTATTTTACTTTTCTTTTCATTAATTTGAAGACTTTTAAGGGCCCCTCGCAAGCCTTGGGCCCCTAGGCTATAGCCTACTTAGCCTATTGGGTAATCCGGCTCTGCTAATACCCTTCTGTATTTATTTACTCATCCAGCTATTAGCTTAAGCAATAATTAGAAAATTAATTTAGTACCTATTTTAAAAAATCCATAACCACAAAATTAATTTTTTCCTCGGTTTTTTTCTTTCTGTTTACTCAGATGAAATTGGGACCAGTTCACAGGTTAAACTTTAAACATTTAATTTGTGTAAATAAATCCAAAAGCACTTCCCTTAGTTAAAATATTTACAATTTGAGCACATAACCTAAAATTTAAAATAAATGCACTAGATTCTGTCATAAAAGTTGGCAGACACACCGAGCGGGGTGTACTATTCTACACCGCCAATTACGTCATATTTATAATCCGTTTTTGTTCCCCGAGCGTTTAATATTTGACAATAAGCTAGATGGCTCAGATGGTAGGGCGGGCGCTTGGCATGCGAGAGGTCCCGGGTTGCGTATTGGCATTGTGTACTACGATACAGAGCCATAGTGTTCTGAATCGCAGTAAGGATTGACAAAATTAAACGCCACTAAGTACAATACAATCCATACTACGATTCAGCACATCTCCCAGTTTGTAATGTTCTGAATCATAGTAGAGAATGGTGTAGGGTATGCGCGACCGCAGCAGGTCATACTTTACTACGATTCAGAAAATAGTATTCTAATTTGAATTGTAGTTGGATAGCTTACCTACAAATACGCTAGCTGCACGCCTTATCAATAAAAAACAAATTATTATTTTTAATTGGAATTTATTTATTAATAAATATTAATAAAAACAAACTAGGTACTCTCTGCAGTTTTAATAATAAATATACATTAACCCAAAGGAAAAAAATCATTTCAAACTTATTAACAAAAAGATCGTTTTACCCAAAAATTTTGCAAGTATCAGATATAAACGTACCACAACGGATTTAAATAATATTTGAAATAGTTAATAGGATTTTTTTCTACTTTTACATAAAACTATTAATTTTGCAAAAACATAAACATAAAATATACATAAATAAGAAATTTTATTTTATTGTATTGTATTGTATTATATTATATTTTGTATTGGGTTGTTTTCTTTAATAGACACCAAATAAAAATACATAGATTATACTTGATATAATAATTTAAAGTTATATTTTTTATTTTTTAAATACCTATATAAAATCCTTTGCTTTTTCTCTTATATTTAAGAAAGAAAAATAGAAACATGAGGGCATTAACTACTAAAATATTTATAAAAATCTATTAAGGATTGTCGATGATAAAGCCAAATAAAATTTTAGGGTAAAACGATCTTTAAGTTAATTAACTTGAAAAATCGATAATAAAAAATAAATATTGTCAGTGAGATTTTTGGTTGGGTCTGTTTCACTACTATCAATTAATTTCTAACATAACCTATAACTCTGGCTTATTACTTTATGCGTGCGGCACATAGCCAATATTTTCTGAATCGCAGTAAAGTATGGCCTGCTGCATTCGCGCAAACACTTCAACATTCTCTACTATGATTCAGAACATCACAAACTGGGAGATGTGCTGAATCGTAGTATGGATTGTATTGTACTTAGTGGCGTTTAATTTTGTCAATCCTTACTGCGATTCAGAACACTATGGCTCTGTATCGTAGTACACAATGCCAATACGCTCCCGGGTTCGATACTAAGAACTTTTTTATTTCATAAATTTGTTGTTTCTTTGTTAAACAGTGTTCGGTTGGGTTGGGTTGGTTGGTTTGTTTTAGTTTTATCGTAACATAAAATCTATTAGAAGTTGTCGAAGTTTTTTTATTTCAT